TCATATTGGAGACCATATTCGACGTTTCCCTAGCAAGAAACGGAACGGAATGAGAACAGCGTTCGTTCCTAGGTGATTAGTCACTCGTGACCGATTTTCCAATGGTTTTCTGGCACCGATATTAGCGTGGCAAAACTGCATTAGAAAATGCATTCTACATATCGATTGCACTACGTCTTACAATCTTCCGCGTTTAATAAACGTGCGACATTCCATCAAGAAGGATAAACTTGAGATTTTTTTCTTTTTTTTTTTTGTAATTTATGAATTCTGCAACGTTAATTCTCTCGTAGAAAAAAAAAAAAAAGAACAGGATACGTAACAATCGTTGCAATTCAATTTCGAAATTTAATAACACGACGTCGAGAAGGAAAATTATTTTCTATGCTCTGGCAAAAAGTGTTCTCGTGATAACGATACAAAGGGCGAGCCCGTCATATTTCGTATTTACCTGAAAGAGGGAATGCTTTTTTCATATTACTATTGAAATGATTGTTTAAACGAGAAATTAAAACGATCAAAGGACGGGTAAATTTTCACGAAATGTTTGACGATTTGTCGGATATCGATGCAAATTTTCCGCATTATGTAAACAAGACTGTAACTTTTTCAATTACATTTTTATATGTTTGCACAATTGTGTCTCTTTATTGCTTTGTACCGAGTGTGGTGCACACAGGGGACCGTTGATAAGTACACAATATTTTCTGTTATATTAGCTGTTAAAACTAAATATTATACAATTCTATACTTTACTTACATGATTCGTACGCAATTACATATCGTAACTTTAGAGCAATAGACGCTAATCGTATTGTAATTATTATTTTTTTTCTTCTTCTTCAATTTTAAATTTTATTCTTCAGAATTTTATTTGATTTGATTCGATACGGATAATTTTTTCATATATTTATATATATATATATATGAAATTCTTTAAATGCTTAAACCATTTCTCCAAGAAAAAATATTTTGGTGAAAGAGGAACTTGATTTTCTTTTGCTTCGTATATGCGAAAATCTGCAACAAATTTCTGTCTATAAAGACAGATGCTATATATTTCGCTTTAGGAGGTCGGCGTATGGAGGCAGAGGCAGGGAAAGCCGTTATTCGGAAGCTAGGTCGGTTTGGCGAGAAGCAAAACGATATCGGAGACTCGATCGAGCAAACAATGATTCGACTATTCCGAATGGCGTGTATATTTCAGTATTCGGCGGCCTTCGCCGGAGCTACCAGGCCTCGGCAAAGAGAAAGGGAGCAGGAGAGGGGAAAAAAAGGGGAACAAGGATTTGTTTTCATTGACATACCAGAGCGGAGCTCGGCTCGTTTCGCAAAAATCTATTTTCGCGCGCTAATTATGTACCAGCACGTCACGAGGCTTCTCTTTTTCTGTCCCTCTCTCTTTCTCTCTCTTCTACTCATATTCACCGCGTATTTTGCCTTCTGTGTATCGCCAGTTGGTCGGCGACGGATGATTGTTGCATTGCGACGAGGCTCTGGAGCAAACGATCACGATAATAACGTTTCCAAGTTCGATGACTGCATGACATATTAAGTGGAAATCCTCCTATCAGGATGAAAGGTCTTTTTTTCCATAGTCATTTCACGAGATGATCGAATGCCGAGCGTAAGCGAGCGTTCCTTCCATTGTTTACCTCCTTTAGGTTATGTGCGTCTAGATGGCTCTTCCGTATCGACCGATGGAATCTTTTCGCGCTTGCATCGAGGGGCCTCGAGTGCCTAATATTGACTGCACGATTATGAAACGCGAGCAATCCATACTTGCTTATTTCGAAAATATAATATAAATATATTGAAATATTTCAACTGAGAGTTTCGACCAATATTCTTCGCGATTTGTGATTCAAAGCAAACGGATTCGTGATTCCTTCGAATTCGATGAATTCGAGATGAACAGGTTAGGTTTGATTCGATGAAATATAAAGAAGGTGAGCAAGGTCCGGTCGTCGATCAAAATATTTCTAATCGAGGATGACTAAACTCTGGCTTGTGCCGCAACAAGACATAACAACGGGCAATTATTCATTTAAAGAAACGATAATGCCCGCTGATTCGCGGAAGAGTCAATAACTGCGAAACCATTCCTGGTATGCTGGACTTTGTCGTTCCGCTGCGTCTTGTGCGGCAAGACAATCCTATGCGGAACGTGTAAACAAGATATTAACGGTTGAACGTTGAATAACAATATTCTTAAATGGACTAGTCAGGGATATTAATCGGTTTGGTTGAGCGATGCTGTCGGCAAACATCGCTCGACCACGCATTTGCGTGCTCGAGGGACTGTTCCGTTCGGCTCGGTCGCTCGAATAAATGAACCGAGATTTGTAAAACGAATGACCATCGTCAACGGTGTGCGGAACTATTCTTCATCGCTTCGAAAGAATATATCGTCGAATGAAACGCGGAATTTAATTTTAATAATATTCGATGATATTCGATATTACAATGATCATATTCACGTAGTAATAAAGAAAAGAAAACTCGAGGCACGATTATTTTTTTCTACAGACGTATCGAATACGAATAATTCGTTCCTCCCGATTTTGTTCTGTTTGACAAATGACATCGTCAATTTGATCATTATTTTTATCGTACGTAGTCAAGACGCGTCTTGATTTTCCGCACGGCACCGCGAAATAATTGTTACACAATTCCATTGTACAATATTTGTTGTGCGATTTGCAGATTCGCGTATACAAGTAAGTGTATGTATGCCCGCATACATTGAAGAGTAACGTGGTTGATGTACTGCATTCTTGAGATTACGCGTGAACTACTTTTCGAGAGAATGTGTTGCGATAAATTTTTTATCAACCCGTTGCGTGCTCGATTGTATCGAGCGTGCTGTGATTAGGTTATCAATATACCGTGTTTTCAAAACTGCCAACAAACGATAGATCAATAATCAAATGTATGATACGGAAAATATCGAAAGTTTATTTATTCACAGATTAAAACTGCGAAACTCGCATCGCATTATACGTGTAAAATATGATTCAACCACGTTACGCATTTGTACCTGTACGTAATTAGAAAAAAAAAAAAAAAAAAAAAGTTAAGCAAAAAGTCTCGACTGATAACTCGAAATCAAATTCCAAGAGTATACTAAACGTTGGAGAATGGTGGAGTTAGCAAGAAACGCGTAATTCATTCTTTCACATTTAAGACCGAATGAATAAACGTAAAGAAGGCTTTAAAAGGACAAGCGTTTAAGCAGTCAGGGAAGAGGGAATTGCTAAGTGGCAGGGCAAAGAAGAATACTAAGGAAGGCATTCGTCGGGATACTCGCGGAGAACCGACCGGATGCAACGCCAGAATGGAAGTGCAAGCCTCCGCGCGCACAAGAGTCCGTTACTCGCATCGGGTATTTCCCAGAACGCGACTATAAACAAACAAACACACCAAGAGAGAGAGACAGGGCACTGTGCGCGTGTGATCCTTGCCCTCCTTCCAAGGCAACAGCACCGACGAGCCAGAAGTTCGTCGAAGTTGGGAGGGGGATGAGAATACTGGCGCCGTCGGTTGAGTAACCCCACCAGTATCATTGCACATGCGCATTGCGCGGGATTCCCCAGCCATCCCCTACTACCGGTCATCTATTCGTCTCCCCACCACGCAACGTCTCTTTTTCTCTTCTCCTTAGGCGGCGATCAAATTCGCACGTAAAGTCGTTCTGAACGTTTGTCTATGATGACAAACTATCCACAGTGTTTACTGTCAATAATGCACCGATCTTAAGCGAAAGAATCGAATTTATTGGTTATCGACAAGTTCGTTTAATAATTTTCACTCTTTCCAACGTGAAAGAAAATAGACATTTCTGGGCAAACATATCGTAGGAATGCGTAACAACTCTTTCGATGTTTTTTTCGATACAATCGACCGCTTTGTATCGTCAAATAATCATTCCGATATATCCTCCTCCGACTCGATTCATTTAAGGATATACATAAACGAACAATCGTTGCAACGATGTCGGATCGTTTGTTTCAAATATCATGGAATTTCATTATTCGAATCTACAGATGTCTATCGATAGTAATATTCTAAAAATATTTTCTTTGCGTTTATTATTGTCGACAAATGTGTAAACTGTTCCGTGAAATTAATTAATCTCTTTAGACTAGATTTATTGAAACGAATCATCGAGACTTTGAAAATACATTTCTTCGAAAGAATTTAACGGAATCGCGACTGAAGAAAATGATATCCCAGCAACCGTCGTCGTCTTTTGTTTTTCGTTCTCTGGTATCGGGAGAAAAAAAGGGAAAAATGGTCATACCAGAGGAATAAGAAGAGAAGAGAAAGACTCGAGGTGTCTCGATGCTTTCATTGCAATTTTCGCACTTGACCGCAGGGGTAAGCGTGCTTTACGATCCGCGGTAAGATTACCATCGATGCTGGAGGTGGAGGGATCGCTACCCCTCGATCTCCCCACCACTATTCCCGGATGCGGGTCTCGTTTTCTGGTGGTGGAGGGACGCGGTAGTGGGGCTGGGACTAATGGTGGGGAGGCTTGCCGCCAACGAGTGGCCGATGGTGGGGGGAAAGCGCGGGTTAGCAGCCGGGACACGCCAGGCGTAGAATTCAGTAAGCGAACGGCTCTCAACGGCCACGAACGTGTTTTTCGTTCTTCGGTTCCCGCGCATGCATATATATGTATATATGTACCCGAGACTGATCCGAAAGAAACATAATCGAGACGCTGTCGGAAATTCGCATCATAACTGTAACGAACAGCCGCGACACATACCCGATTTCAAGAGAGTTCACAAACAAAAATAGTTCTTTGGTTTATTCCATTTTTCATTCTTCACTTTTATTTTCGCAACTGTGGCTTTAATAATTCAAACTGGATTCCAACAAGCAGTACGTGTCGCGATTACATCGCGGCTACCGGAGGCTTAAAAAATTATTCAAGGTAAGAAGAAAGCGTCTCTACGATAATCCTTAAATTTCAACACGCGTTATATACGGTGAAAAAAAAAAAATAACGAAAACCAGTCTACGAAAGATGTGATCGAGTGTGACGCCGCGCGGGGCTATTCCCGTTCAAGTGCTTGTTCTTGCGGAAACAGAGGGAAACTTTAGAAATATTTCGCACCTGTTTACAAATGATCCGACGAGATCCCGCGAAGTGTCGTTTAGGGAATTGGTTGTTATGACAATAGATTAACACTCTTCAACCAATCACGTTTGATCGAAACTTATTGTTTATAATTCATGAAAATTCGTCAAAATGTTCAACTTGCTACCAAAGAAAGCAATGTTAGAGTCGCTTTATTCTTTTGTTCGATCAAATATCTGAGAATCGTCCGAAGCTAACGTTCCCACGGATCGCGATACTGTTGTCGACGAAGAGAGTGTGGTAACTTCGTACTCAAAAGGCGCTATGGGATGTTCTATGGGATGTGCTTTCCGATTGGTAATTATTTCGTTGCGGCAAACGGGTGATTTTTTAACGGTTAATCTTTCGTGCTCGTTCGTTAATTTTTTTTACCTTGGCGGGAAAATTCGTGAAGTTAATCTCGCGTTGAAATGTCAAATTATTAGATCAAGCTATTGTCGAAAATTATTCGCGGAACGCTCTTCACGCGAAATCGACGTGTTTCTTTTCGGGAAAAAGACGTGTCAACGGAATTTTTTTAATATATCTCGAATTAAAAAGAATCGGTGAAGCGGAGATTTTCGACGAGATTTTGGTGACGGTTTCGGAAACGAAAACGAACAGTGAATGCAGATTCGGTATACCAAAAAAGAGGTGAAAGAAGGAGGAGGTTAACACACTGCCTCGAAGCATGAATAATTTACGCTCGCTCGAATTTTAAATAAATTCGCCCGGAGCCCTTGGTTCCAAAACAGGCAACGTAATCACGACACGGTTCGAAAGTTGTTTACGTTCACTGTCGAACGCAACTGCGAATTCTCTATAGAAATAGTGCCATTTTCCTTAGTGTTAAATCAAGAAATAATACCCTTGATTCTCGACGAATTAAAATTTTCGATATTTGTTCAGTGACACGTCTACGAGTGACAAAATACATCTCCGTCCGAAAGAGACGCGTACAGACGCGAGACTGGGACGGTTACTTTTTCGACCGAGAATGCTAGTCAAATGAGCGTCCGTACGAATATTTATTACGCGAGAAAAAAATCAGTTAAAATGTCAATTCCATTCCACTGCTAGAAAAAAATACGTACGATACGAAAATTTATATTTGTATATATATAAAAAAAAAAAATGTTTACAATAGAAGAAATAATCGATAAAAAGAAAAAATTTATATTCGTGCCTATCGAAGTGTGGTTATCGACTGAAACACAACGTTCCATGATAATAACGTGTATCAGTCCTCTCTGTATTTCGGCAATGGAAACAAATTGACGGGAATGCTGGAAAGTATCGAGTCATCGGGAATCTCGAGAACTCGCGATACACGTGAACTTGGAGTGATCGCAAAATTCCGCTATACTCGAAAGAGGAGAAAGAGAGAGAAAGAAAGAGGGAGAGGGAGAGAGAAAAGAAGGAAAGAGGGAGTGAGTGAGAGATCGTTGGGTAATGCTCATCGAGGTCCGCGACCGAAAAAACATGTTTGGATCGTCTGCGTGTTTATACGATAGGATGTGAAAGCAAACAATTTTGTGGCCGTGTTGGTCACGACGTAGCTCGATCTTTGTCGATGCCACGCTTATCTCTCGATGGTACTCGAAAAGAAAAAATAAAAAACTCGAGCGATCGCGAGCGGTGCTATGGTTCGATCAATTGTTTTAATGACACAGGATGCTTTTCAAATATATGCTATATCAAATAATAATGTTTCTCGAACCGCTACGACGTAGTGTCTCGTAATTATCGATGTGTGTAAATATTTCGCGCGCAAGATCGATTGTCCTCTATAGCGCTCGTAATTTTAATTGGTTATATCATTCGTCATAGTATGAGAGACACTCGATCGATGTTGTTTACAATTCGATGATGTTCTTTATTTCATAAGTTAGTGCAATATGTAGTTTACATTTTTCTTGTGTCACTAGTAAACAACCGTAGTATCCCTCCCAATTAATTACCTCTTCTGCTAATTTCGTATAACTCGTACAATTCGTATAATTCTTTTATAACGAACATTCTGTGGCACTTTGTTTCCTCTTGCACGTTAGTTGCAAATGTACGAATCGCATTGCTTTTTTTTTAGAGCTTTTTTTAGAGCTTTTTTTAAAACCAAGACAACAATAACGATAGTACAAAGATTAGAAATGTTATTGTTGAATCCTCTGTGAAGCGACAAAGTCGGAATACAATATTCGAGAACGACTGTCGCTTTTTTTTTGTTCGATGCTGATTCTCATCCACTTCTTTGTGCAAGTAGTAGACGCATATACACATGCATATCTTAGGGATAGTAACAAACAATAAATACTCTCTTTATCTAATTAGCGCTTTGATAATTGAAACGAGCTCGTGTAAATAAACAAAGATCAAGTGTACACGAGATCAGCACAAAAGAGATCGCTTAGAACATTAATTCTTGGCTGAGAAATCGGGCTTGCTGGAAAATCGACGCCGTTCCTCTCGAGACCCTTTTATTAGTCTCTCTAGAACAGGCAGCTCGGGCCGTGGCGTGTTCCAATTTAGTCGCACAGCCCGCGCGCGACACGTTTCTCAGCGTCTGCGAATGCAAAACATCTCATTCACGGGCAAAAGTGCTGGCCGCCTGCGCCAATAGGCGTAGTCCCTTCTGGTAGCCGGCAAAAAACTTGATGCGACAGAGTGGGGGTACACGATCATTGCTCTCCGTCTCTTTCCGCCGCCCTTCGTGCTCGTCTTCTCGTCCTCTTCTGGTGTGCGTGTTTCTATGTGTGCGCGCGCTAAGGGAAAGGAGAAAAGAGAGGAAAGTGTCGCGTACCATCGTCAGAGGGCAGCACTCGACAGGCTGCAAGAAAAACATAACCTCGCGAGCTTAGAGCGAGAGAGGCGGAGAACGAAGGAGCGTTTACAAGGCGCGCGGATAGAGAATGCGCTTGTCCACGAGAGAAAGAGACGAGACGAGCAAGGCTAAAATTAGAATGTCCGTTGGAATGTTGCTGGGTTGTGTGTACAGGGTGATTCAGCAATCGCAGGAGGATAGAGAGAATTAAACGCGAGGGAATGAGAGAGACGAGAAGTTTAACGGACGCCCGCGAGATGTTACACGTTTTTAGATTGATTGATCATTGTACGTATTTCGAATTTCATCTTCCGCGAAACTTCTTCATTACGTATCTCGTTTCTTCTATCACTTCCCACTTCGCGGTGAGATTATTTCTTGCGCCGCTACGTTTCCTTTTCGCGTTTCTCCTGAAATTTGTTCCAGGCAGAATGTGTCGCAAGGTCATCGACGAATCGAAATGATGCATCGTCGCGAGAAAGGTTATGTGTTCACACAATAATACTCGTCTAAGTCGAGTTTGAGGTTGAGAGCGCGCGCATGCAGCTATATATCTACGTGAGAGCGGTTTATTTTAAACGGAGCGCGCTCTCTCTGATACTCTTGAACGGTATATATCTACGATCTAAGCAAATTGCGAGGTCGTAGTGGAACGTTAGTCGGTATATCGATTATCCGAGTTCCCCTCTGCTTGAGACTTCTCTCCTTGATATCTAGCGATCGACGTTGCTCTCTATCCTGCGGTATCCGTCGGTGGTTATCCCTCTTGCTTGCTACATAGTGAGGGAAGGAGAGGGAGGGAGGGAGGGAGAGAGAAGGAGATGGAAGGAGAGGGTGAGAGAAGTAGACGAGTGTCAGGGGACCAAGGAATAGATAAGCAAATAAATAAACTAGCGGGGCAAAGCGAAAGCCAGCCAAGCAGAGGGAGTAGTAGGGCTGCTGTTGGGTGGCTCTCGGGCAAATGCTCGACGAGGTCGACGTCCTGACACGGATGGTTGACGCCGTGGGGCCCGCCTCGTAACCGGCCTGGAAAGAAGAACGAGGAAAGGTAGATAAAGAAGATGAAAGAAAGGGCCTTGCCGACTTGCGTTTTCATCGTCTAAATATAAATCCTTCCTTCTCTCGCTTACGACCTTTTCCACTGACCTGTTCTCATCTTCTGTTGCCGCCGCAAATTCCTTGATTAATTCGTCGAAATCTTTCAAGGCTGGGCAATATATTAGCAACATCATGATCGCGCTGTAATAATTATTGCTTGCGAAATTTACGAGGAATTTAACAAGTTCACAAATATGAGAGAGAATATTCAATGTTGTCTAGATAGAGACTTCTTTCGTTTCATTCTTTCTTCGATATTTTTTTCTTTACTTTGTAAAAAAAAAAAAAGCAATGAAGATTCCGGATGAGTAAAAACGGGCCGTTATTTTATCATTAACGACCGTTATTCAAACCTTATCCCAAATCTTTTGTTGCGATTTCGCTTTGTAGATGGCATCTTCTTTCTACACCGGATACCCTCTGTCGCTCATTTTCGGCAATGGCGTCTCGTTAAGAGTCGTCGTCGATATTTACCCGCGCCGTTGGCAAAAGGTTTCTCGCAACGCGCATTTCCTGCGTCTTTTGCTCGGCGAAAAGCTTGTTTGGGGAGTCAACCGGTGTGCAGGTTTGGGAAACGGTCAAAGACCGTTCCCCGTTCAAGCGGGTAGTGGGAAAGAAGGGGGAAGGTCAGAGAAGAAAGGAGAGCATTTCGACGGAGGATCATCCGGATTCTCTTGTTCGAGGATGAGAACTTGTTCCTTTCTTTTGTAACGGCCACGCGGGATCCGTCTTTGGACGGAAGTACACAATGGTGATGGGAGGAAGGAAGCGGCGAGAGAAAGGGGCGCGATCGTCTTTCGGGCCGGAAACGAAGCGATCACCGCTTAAAAATCATCCTCGTATGCGTGCACAGCGAAATCCTTCTCTCTCTCTCTCTCTCTCTGTCTTTATTCCCAATCTTTTTCCCCCGACCAACCCATTGAATTTCATCATTGTGAAAAAGTATCAGCCGATCTTTGATCCTGTTATACAAACATTTACGTCTCTGTATATTGTATGTGAAAACATCCGTTAAAATGCGTATTATTATTATTTGTTGTATCGTGCGGTGAACGAGGCGATAGAAAGTCGCCTTTTATTACACAATCTGTGAAATAATAGATATAGATTATTTCGAGTCATGGTCGAAATCGTCCTTGATCTTCGACGCGGTTTGAATACGAAACGAAACTGTGCGACATCTCGGCCGCTTTCGATTTTGGCACGGAATCGTCAGGTGGTCGGAATGATTGACGATTAAACGGCGAGTCCGTCATCATCCTGACCTGCACGACATAGCCACGTGTCGGTTATGATGACGTCACTTCCGGCGCTTGATTTCCTGGTACCGGACGATCGTTAGCGGATGAGAAGAGTTAAGTGGCCGGACACGAGTTCATGCCTCCTTGCCCCACCACTTCGCGATTGGAACGCTTTTGTATCTTGCAGAAATTGACGCCTCGAAACGAAACGCGAGCGTAACCGCCGCCAGTGGTCACTTCGTTGCTTAACTCACTAACAGACAACTCTCTGCGCGCTACCACTGACCAAGAACTTTGATAGCGAAGATAAATTATTTTTTATATATAATAATAAAAAAATAAAAAAAAGAAAAAGAAAATCGGAGAAAAGCGTTTGTCGCGGGTATCCATGATGGATTTAACTCGGATATAACGTTACGCCGCGCAAAATAACGAAATAAATAAAGGAATGAATACGGTGGATAATTAAATAAGTCGTTGGTGTTGCAGCGTGTGGCGAACCAGGCGCTTACCGTTTCGCCACAGCCGGCAGTAACGGTGGAGGGGCCGGTGTCCAAAATGTCTCCACCAACGAACGACGTGACCAATGGTGTGGTAGCGCCACCCAACACCCTGGCGCCCCGGGTTTCACCGACCACGAACCCGGCCCTTACCACCATCAACCCGCCAACGCACAAGCGGACTCCCAAGGACTTCATCTTTGGCAAGGCGATCGGCGAGGGAAGCTTCTCCACCGTAAGTGTATTATCTCGTTAACTCGATTGAATCATTAACGGGGAATTACAACAGGGGAGGGAAAAAGTGTCGTCACCCCTCTCTCGAAACTTTTCCCTTATTAAACTTTCTCTTGCCGCGGCAATAGTCGAAACTTTTTCCACCGTCAACCCGCGATCTTCCCGTGCTCTTTCGACCCCTGTGTCGATCTAATCGTGCACGTTGTCGATTCGCAGGTTTACCTGGCCAAAGATATCCACACCGGGAAGGAATACGCGATCAAGGTGTGCGACAAACGTCACATAATCAAGGAGAAGAAGACCGAGTACGTGAAGCGAGAGAAGGAGGTGTTGAACATGCTCGCGGGCGCGAAACACTCGTTCGTGCGCCTGTTCTGCACCTTCCAAGACGTGGAAAGACTCTATTTCGTCCTGTCCTACGCGAAAAACGGTGAGCTCCTGCCGTACATCAACAAGGTTGGCTCGTTCGACATCGAGTGTACCAAGTTCTACTCGGCGGAGATCCTTCGCGCTCTCGAGTACCTTCACGGGCTCGGGATCATCCATCGCGATCTCAAGCCGGAGAATATCTTGTTGGACGAGAAGATGCACGTGCTTATCACCGATTTCGGTAGCGCCAAGATCCTCAAGGACCCGGAGACGGTCACGCATCCCGCGACGGACGAATCGCAACAGCAGCAGCAACAGCAACAACAGCAGCAGCAACAGCAGCAACAACAACCGTTCCGAAGAGAACGAAGAGGCTCGTTCGTTGGTACCGCCCAATACGTGTCCCCGGAGCTGTTGACCGATAAGACGAGCAGAGCGTCCGATCTCTGGGCCCTCGGCTGTATAATCTACCAGATGGTCGCTGGTCTGCCCCCGTTCCGCTCCAGGAGCGAGTACATGATATTCCAAAAAATCCTGAAGCTCGAGTACGAGATCCCCGACGGATTTTGCGAGCTGGCGAGGTCCCTCGTCAGTCAGCTGTTGGTGCTCGAGCCATCGCAGAGATTGGGGGCGCAGGACGAGCACGGCGCCGGTTATCCGAGCATAAGGGCGCACCCGTTCTTCGAGGGTGTCGACTTCGAGACCCTCCACGAGCAGACGCCGCCCCCGATCTATCCCTATCTGCCCGGCACGTCGGAGAACGAGGAGCTCAGGTCGCAGTACAGGGTTCCCGACCACCTGGAACCAGGCCTCGACGACAAACAGCTGACGAGGCTTCTCGGCCTGGGCATCGGGGAGGACGACGACGACGACGACGACGAGGAAACCACCGCCGAGCGGGAGAAACCCGCGCAGACAAGCACCGTGGTCTGCGAGAAGCCGAGGAGGACCAAGATCACCAGTGACGGTAACATCGCCGACCTGACGCCCGAGGAGATGAGGAACCGATTGGAGAAGCAACGTGCCTCCAATCAGTGGGACGGGTTCGTCGAGGGAAATCTGATATTGAAACAAGGGTTCGTGAACAAAAGGAAAGGGCTCTTCGCCAGGCGGAGAATGCTCCTGCTCACCACCGGACCACACCTGTACTACGTTGATCCTGTGAACATGGTGCTCAAGGGGGAAATACCCTGGAGTCCGGAGCTCAGGGTCGAGCCAAAGAGCTTCAAAATTTTCTTCGTCCACACGGTGAGCTAGCCTCCTTATCCTTTCCTCTTCGTTCTAGCGAGATGTTCGAGATTGTTAATTTAATTTAATTTTGTATCTCGTTACAGCCAAACAGAACATATTATCTGGAAGATCCCGAGGGATTCGCATTGGAATGGTGTAGAGCGATAGAGAATATGCGAGTCCATTACTACGGCCTGCAGGAGTCCACCGCTTAAACAGAAGACTGATGAACGGAAATCGGATGGAACAGAGCTAGTGAATACGTTTCACCGATTACGGTAATCACAATGTCCGCGAGATTCGATCGCGGATATATTGTTATCCGTTCGTGGCCAGAGGAGGCGTTTCGTATAGATCGTTTGTTAGCGTTGTAACTCGGCGTTAGGGGAGATACATTCTAGGGATAGGTTAGCGTTTCTTCTAACGCTTTCGAGGCGTTATGTGTACAGTTTAGGAAAAATTTTCTAGGTAAAAATTTAATGTGCCGGCGGCCCCTCAGAGATGATCAAGCTCAAGGGGGATACGCCCACGAGAAGAGAAGAAAATGCGTATCGAAATCGTGCAGTTATCCTATTTTTTTTTTTTTTTTTTTTTTCACTAGTTACGTTTTGTTATTTATTTGTCGAACTCGGGTGAACTTGAAAAGGCTGCACGGCGTCTCTCTTAGTACGCGAATAACACAGGGAATAGCGAAATTTGTAGCCAAGGTTTTTAACTGTGTATGTTCGCACAGCGTTTCGAGCGCTGCGAGTGACGTAACGCTCGTGATCGAGGTCGCCTGATGATCCTTTCGTTGCAAAGAAAGGGAAATAAAACTGTTCTTCGTGTTCGCGCGAATTTCGTATTAAATATTCATGATATTCGAAACATCACAATCAAAATTTTAATCGGGTTGATAACCGATGCTTGGTAAATATTTAAGAAAAGAAACGTGGAAAAATAGTGTACCTGGTTGGGAGTATAATGGGACGAAGATTAATATAGATTAGAAGATATAGCGAATGGAAAGCAGGAGCGCATCGATCATACGCGTTTATATCAATAGCAGCGTGTAGCAATTTTGTTCCAAATATAGTCAAAATTAATATAGAAAATTACAAGCGAGTTTTTTAGAGAAGAGAGAATCGACAGCAACGTGAGAGAGCATGTAATTCGCACGATAATTATCTGCTCGCTGTCGATTTATCAAACAAATCTAGAATGTCAATTTATATAGTCGAAGTTAATCAAAAAAAAGGAAAAAGAAAAAAAGGGGAAAAAAAAAGAAAAAAAAAGGAAAAAAGAAAAAAATGCAGTGGGGACAACATTGCCGCTTTGCAGCTTTAATAAACAGTTTACGTTGCCTGAAAGGGATTCGCGGAATTTTGCGCGTTGTTCCGTTGAATCTCTTGCTCTCTTCATATTACAGTATTCTTCTCGTTATTCGTCACCCCTTTTTTTTCTTCTCGATACGTTGTAAATATTAGCGCGATTTCACGAAGAGCAGGCTTCGTAAAGCATATATCAATTGTATACATATAGTTCTATATATTTGTAAGTACAAAGATCGTTGTCCGACCACGGCGTTTTTTCCGCTCGTTTCTTAGTTCGATTTACTTTGTCTCCAATCTGGCCCTCGCGGACACGATCGAACAATGTGTGTACAGCCGGGAACTAGAAGGACAGTGTTTAGATCTTAAATCGGAAGAAATAAATTTTTAGTAGTTGTTTAAAAATGGAAGATGAGATGAAAATTAGTATTTGTTGTACAAAAAAGAAAAAAAAAAAAAAAAGAAAAAAGAAAAAGGAAAAGCGGTGGAGAGATTGGGAAGAATTTTCTCTTCCTGCGGAAGACACTGAAACAGGAATGTGACCTTATGAATTAAGTAGATAGATTAATAGAAAAAAAAAAAAAAGGAATAGCTTTAAGAGTAGTAACCCCGTATAGATTTGCGAGAATCACACACACGGAACACACACACTACCACCACACTCGTTGCGTTCAAACTATTGTCGTTGTCATTCTTACTATTAATTTTTTTCTAGTATTTAGTAAAGCTATTACGATTGCATCGTTAGCGATATTAATTAACTATTTCATCGTATTACGAACGTATAAGTATTTTTTTCCCCTCGTAATTGTCGACGTATATTTAAGTATAAACGATTCTGTTTCTCTTCCTTTCTATTCTTTTCTTTTCTTTTTTTTTCTTTTTTTTTTCTTTTTCATTTTTTCTCTCACGCGCGATCTTTTGTTTAATTTATTATTCGCCGTACACGTCCTACGTTTATTATTTTTTATCGTTTTTCGTTTCCGCGTTAGATCACACGCCTCGTTTACGCGTAGATCACATACAGACTTAGTACTACTACCGCTGCCACCACTGCGATCATTATTATTAGTGCTATTACTATTACTATTACTGTGTCCATTACTATTGCTATTATATTGTCATTGCTGCATACGTAGATACATGTATACGTATGCGTGCGCGTCGCGTGTATATGCGTATGCACGTGTTTATAATGCGTTCTGTAACTTATATTATTACTATCCTCTTTAGATGTAATTTTAGATACTTTGTAAATAATACTGCCAATTTATCGCGCATCGACTTCCGAAACGCTATTCGTTCTCTTCGTGCGCGACCAAGTCGTGGCCAAACTGTACGATACAGCTGTATATTATCTATACATAAATATTCTATATACACATATATATTATATATATATATATATAATAAAAAAGTATATATATACACATAGATGCATACAGTTATATAAAATATTTATGAATTGTGAATAGTTAGTTAGGGAAATCGTGTATAAACGTTCGTTCGTAGGTTATAGGCCGAATACGCGCTTAGGTTAATACTTTGTTGACGTTACCTTTGCCACGACTCGATCGCGCCATTTCATTATACGTTGTACTATAAAGACACATCCATATCTCACCATCTTCTCGCGATATTTAGAAGACATAAACAGGGTATTCGGAGAAAGGATATGATGGAGAATGGTTTGGTCGTCGTGCCTGCGAAGCTGCACGAGTATGCTCGAAATAATGGTGGTTCGTTTACGGATCGGCATTGTCCTTGTGCCCAGTGGCTTTCCAAAATGACCGCTTTTGGCGTGCCACGTACGGTGCTTGCGGGCGAAAACGGGGCGCACAGGCTCGACGATCGTCCATTCTCTCGTCGTTTCTTTCTCTTCAACTAGTGAGAATCGATCGCGAGGAGGTATCCGATAGTTGTTGTCGCTAATTTCCTCCTTTCCATTTCCTATCCTTCTTCATCCATGCAGAATAGCGTCTCGGTAGTATTGGATAAAATGAAGCATCAACGCAGTCTTTCTGTCAAAACGATGCATGCGTCGAGGACGTTCTCAAAATTTCAGAGGCGTACGAATATTGCTTTATCAGAAAAGACGCTTCAATCGTTCATGGTCAAGTCCGATATTATAGTTCCTCGTTGTCTCGACGAATTATTTCCTTTTCGAAGAAAGAATGCGTTCGATGTCCTATCATCGATCTTGGGAACCGTTTTTAACCGCGGATCGATGATACGGTGTGCGGCACTTGCGTTTCCATTGTTGTAAACTTTGCAGGTTCTACGTTTTATGCAGACGTTGCAAACTTTCAGATGGAAATGTATATATTTTTCTTTTCCTAAGCGCCGACTCCTATCGAGGGGAAAGGTAGTCGCTTTTATTAAATAGTTTTCCGTCGGTTTTGGAGACTGGTCTTGAGATTCCTAACCTCAAAGGGCGACGCTTACCTCCTTTTTTTTTTTTTTAATTATAGTTCACTTACTCTAGCTGAACTTAACAAAAAATCTCTAGTGTGTTTGTTGAGAGGCGTTCGACGTGAAAGATATAGCTAATTTAATTTATACGCTCAGAAGAGAAAAAAATACTTAAAAAATCAAGAACGTGTATGTAAAAAAAAAAAAAAAAGAAAAAAAAGGAAAACATTCGAATACACTAATGTAAATCACGCAAGCAATAACAACAAGGCCTTGCGATCATTCAAATGCCTACCGTTTCGGCGTAATAAGGACGGTTCAACTATTAATTGCAGTATTACTAAATGTATACAGACTAAAATACACTTACACACCTACACAACAATTTACGTATACACACTAAATACTTCACATTGGATAAGAAGACTCTGTAAATAGTTAGCACGTAATTGATATTATAGGCGACAAACCTATTAATATTAACATCAAATTTATTTATAGTAAATTTTCCGAAATATCGTATATATTTGTGTTATTAATTAACACGACCTTTCCTATCCTGATTTTATCATCAATTATAATTACTTAATTATAATTGATTTAATATAATTAATAATTTTGATTTTACATTTAAATTATACGAAAAGATTCTAATAAATTTTTGGTAAGTATATATACAGAATGGAGTATTTATTTATATTACAATTATTGTACACTGCACACTAGTTACAATATTTAAGATAATATTAATGTTAACCTATGTTGCATAAGAATATTTTTATCATTGAACCGAGATATAACTTAAAGAATTACAGAAAAACACATCTAGTTATATGAATAATTTATTTCATTTAAATTATTCTGCGTGCTACATTGACGGTAGCGATCCCCTTAATGTGTTAAAATCGAAAGATTTTTTTTAATTTAATCAGATAAATGTATTAACAAATGTCTTTTTAAGTCTGGCATATTTTTTGGAGTGGCCGGACATTTGTGACATTTTAATGGCGTGTTCAAATATTGCGCGCTTTCCTCGGATTTCAACTTTTTTAATTCACCTTTCTCGCGCAATTGATTGCAAATATCTGTAATTTTGTAAAAAATAAAATATGTTTTTCTGAAAATGATATGTTTTTTTTAAAAAAATAGAGATATATTTACCTTTTGAATGTAGAAAGAAAGGTGTTGTAAATGAATTCCAATGGTATTTGGTCTTTAGACAAGGACTATTAAAATCAGTACTTATTACGTGTAAATGTAATCTGTGCATGCTTGGTACAGCATGATATCCAATACTGTATAAAAATAATATAAGTATTATAAGTATATTTAGTATACTTATAATAACTTAATTTTAATATTAAATATAAACAATATCTATACATACAGGAATTCAAATTCCTTATGTTGTTTAGTTAAATCTTCAGCAGTAGCATGCATATGTAATAATAAATCTTCATTTTCTTTTTTTACATGCCATAATGATGGAATATCTATTTTTGGTATAACCAAATAATGATTTTGAGCTTTTGGATATTTGTCTTTAATAACAATTATTTTATCATCTTCTTTTACTTTATATCGAGGATCTTCCATAGAAACAAGTAAGCCAGTTGCCCAGTGATGCTTCTTAGGAGCTGTTGCATCACTTGATGTCACTTTTGGTTTGCGTTTCATTGTTATTTTTTGATTGTCACTTTTAACAAATTGTAATTTTTACTATAATATGTACTCACACAATGAAACAAATTTTAGGTAATTTGTCCTTTTTAAGAATAGCATAATGTAATACTATAAATAATAAAATACCAAAGTATGGAAGAATATATAATTAATTCAATGTTGTTTTATAATTATATTATAACTTGATTCACTTGACAAAAAAATATAAAGATTTAAAACAATTATCAATCAAAAGTATTTCTCAGTAATTTTATACTAAAATAAATTAGTGTATAAAGATCAAAGAGGTTATGTTTGTGATATGATGTGCATTATAAGATACAATACATTGATAATTATATGAAAATTGATTACGTTTTATTTGGAAAAATACTGTACGCACATAATCACTACACATGTTTATAAATTTTCATGTCTTTTGCACTTACTCGATTTTATTCTACTTTATCTTTCAAAGTGCGAAATAAAGTTACTTCAGTTTGACATTTATGTATAGATCAACTATCATTCGAACTTATTTAATGCGCATGAGTATGCGCATGCGTGTTTAGATAGTCTTTAAATTTATATTTATAAAAAGAATTGAATTTGAATGCATATAATTTTAAGAATAAAAAGATGAAAAAAATAATTTAAAAATGATTAATTAAGTGAATTTAAAATATATCGTGATAAGGTAACAATTAAAACGATCGACACAGAAAGAAATAAATAGCTTAGCGAATAACTTTAAATTTATTTATTTACTCAAATGGAAGGCAATCGATAAATTTGCAACAAATAAAAATAAATAACACTCTCTCTAGCAATAATTACGTGATCGTTACTTAAACGTACATCATTACAATAAATTCATAGATACTTAACAAAACTTATATCTTTTTCTTTTTCGCATGCTCATACAAAATATGTTCGTGTGATTGTATGTATGCGTGTTCGCGCGTACATACGCGTGTTTGTATTACATTATTTTTTTCACTTTCAGTACAATCTCATGTAGCTTGTTATTACAAGTATATGTCACAAAAATCCTATATACAGACGAGTTTCGTCCCGTAGAATTTTTAATCGCTCATTTTTTTTTTGTTGTTGTTTATATATTCATCCAACAATACTCATACGCTCATTATACAAACAAAGACACTTTCACGCGTCTCATGACAGACTATCAGATTCGCACAGCCTGACAAATCAATCAATCGATAGATTTCATGATTCATGATTCGAAGAAAATGAAATAATTACAGGATTGCAATGCTAAGCAACGATACAATTAAAAAAAAAAAAAAAAAAAAAAAGAAAAACAAAAAAGATGAGGGATCGTGCGTCGTATGCTGATCGATGTCATCATATGATGTCGTCCGCTTACTTGCAACCATTTATACGCGATTGAGTTTCACAGTTGCTTTATCCTAAATAAATTCATACAAACAAACTCATTTCATGGACGACATATTGGCAGCATTTAACGACTCTAATTTTACGTATGATACAATATTTTACAACACGATACAAACTTTTATTGTCATGGCAACGGGTGGTACAATTATAATGACGAAGCGATACGCGGTGGCAAGGGGATTTTTGGCACGATTTTTTATCCCGATTATACACCATGTTCTCTCCTTAATTTTCGTGCATATATTTTTCTATTTGCACGATTTGAACTTAAATGCATAATTAATAGCGTAATCACAAATCGATTTCTAATAATATTGAATCGAACAAACAAAATAAATGGTACGAGCTTCGATTTAAATGCATCGATTTTTGAATTGACCGCGTAAAGATGCGCGAGAGGGCACTGTAAATTCAGTAGTTCAAATATGGCGCGACTAAATGTTGCGCTCAAGTTTCGTGCCGAATATTTCTTGTTTTATTAGCTCATTTTTACTTGTGATTACGTTGAATAGTGAATTTCTAAAGTAATTATTTAAAAGATAGTGTTTTCGGGAAATGGTTTTCGTTGAAAATGAGAGTTATTTTGCAAAATATCGCAAAATAAAAATTACGAGTGATTGTTTGGCTGTTTCTACAAGGAGCATGGTGTCTCGGGGCCTCATGTGATGTTTCTCTATTGCATGTGAACGTTTGGAATGTTGCATACTTTTGCTGCTTCTTTGTGCGATATGGAGTGAACAATGATGGTATGTACTTGCTTGCCAAACTGCCACTTTCAAAAATAAGGGATCATTTGAATCGATAAAGCACTCTTTGCACCGTAAATTTGAATTCATTCATTTGTCCAGCAAACAATTAAATTGACATTCTTGCTTCAATGGAAATAATATAAATTAAAATAATTTTGTTGGACTATAATGTAAAAGATTGCTTTGTGATTCAATTGTGACATTTTGAGGAAAATTTGATAGCTCTAAATGGGGTTTCAATTAGCACCATCGCTGATCACATACGCTAAAATCGTTTCGATACACTCACATACATTTTCACATACATTAATCACGCTAGGTAACATTGCATTCATTACATTCGCTCTTTATTACCGACTTAGGCAGTGCGATCCTTTATCGTTACGTCGGCGCACGAAGCCACTTGGTTCTGCAAAGAATGCCTCAGAAAAATGCAGGACTTTACGCTTTCTATTTTATGTTCATTTATAGTATAATAACACGAAACATAATAGAAAGTTTGTTTATTGTATATAATATTGCCTTATATGATATGATTCAATCATTATAAACATGTGTTATTCCGAATGCGAAATACAAAGTTAGGTTAGAAACTTCGGTTGATCAATTGAAATTCTGAGACGAATTCTTCTTAACTTTTGCTCAAATATATGGACAAAAGCGCGGCTCGTGGTACGCGTAGCTTCGATTTCTTCCTCGTTTGAAAACATGGAATGTCACAAAAAACAACAAAAAAGATTCGTAAAGGGAAACGAAAAAACAGGAGAACCGCACAATACCCTGACATCGGTATACTTTTGTCCGCACCCATTCTGAAAATTTTTATGCGATTATTGATTAAAATATGTATGTGTAACCACTAACATCACATGCTCTGCCTTAGAAAAATTATGTATAGCTGTGCGGGAAAGCCGTCGAACTTTCTTTTTCTGCTTTTCCTTTTCTTCACTTCTTTTCTTTCTTTCTTTCTTTTAATTATTTTTTTTTTTCCTTTTTACTTCTTTCAACGCATGTTTACTTTCGAACTCGGCATACATTGTATTTTATATATATGTATATGTATACGTGTATACATATATACATACATGTTTTATATATATATATATATATATATTCTCGTAAATAATTATCCCAATTATAACATTATAATTGAATACGGTTTTGTTTTGGAGAAATGGGATCGACAGAAATGAGATTGGATGAGGGAAGCATACGAGAAAAACATATACGCAGCTTTCCCGTTTTCCTGTTTAACACACACGCTATTCGCAGTTATTAAAACTCAAGCAACACACGACTGTAGACTGGATAGTAAAAACTAGCTAAAAACGCTCGTAAGGAAATTCTTTGGAGAATTTTGAAGATATCGTCGTTGTTGTCCTATTTCCATTTGCGGAACGTATCCGCTATTTCGTTTAGCGATTCGTCCTCGCATATCTTTACGTTCGTTTCTTTCGAATGAACGATCGATCGAAATACATGATATCATTTTCCAGTGAAACCATTTCTTGAGCTCTTGATCGTTATATTGATTTCAAGTAGCAACGATTACAAAAAACGATTCACGCGATTCCAATGCTCGATCGATTCCATGAAACGAAAGAACGACAATTCTGTGCATTGGTACTCATACTGACCGAGGAAGACCAAAGTATACGTGCATTCTCTACTGACAATTATCTTCTATTATAAAATCCCTTAGAAACGATTGCTTCGTGGTCTTGTTCTCACCCTTGTGTTTTCACGCTACGATCCTCTCGCAATTTTATGCACCTTTTTTTCACGCTTATATAAATTACTCACCTAGAATTTCGAACTTCGATTGAAAATTATACAGCTAGTTATTCCTAATTTCTTTTTTTTTCTTTTTTTTTATCTCTCGTAAGAAAGTTCTCCGCTTGATAACAAGTAGCGTAAGTTTTACGTGTAAGTACAATTCTTTTAACGTTCACGGGAAGTTGCACAGCGCCGAAGTCGCTGGAGAACAATGTCAGAGGCAAGCAACTGCAAAACGGTTCGTAAAAATGCACCAAAAAACAGTCACAGACTAATCACAATATATAGCACTTGGCATTGCCGTTGGATCGTCTTTGTGCTTCGCTGGATCTTTTTTTTCGTTTCCCGTTGATTTAAGTACACAAGGCCGAGCTCCGAGGAAAAATCTCGGGCTAGGTCGCGAAGTCGACTTTGTCCCAGGTTAATGAAAGATCGGAAGACATCTTGAAATCAGAGTCCTCCATGTTGAAGAGATCAAACGGATCTTGACTACTGGCTAGCAGGGGATCGTAAATATCCGTGCCGCTCGACAAACTCGTCGGTGGCGCCGGTTGGTGATTCGTCACTGTCGTGGAAGAGGTTGGTGGAGATTGTGGCATCAATGAATCGAGCCAGTCTGGATCATCCATGTCCATGGGCATGTCGCCGATGTCCATCAACTCTTGAGGCGCTTCCATCTTTACACCTAAGTCGCAATCCAATTGGCTGAAATCCATCGTGTCCAAGGTCTCGAGGTCTAGCTCGAGTTCCTGAAATGTAAACGCAATGCATGTATTTTCGCCTCATTTCAAAGACGAGGAAGTTGAATCTTGGATTAATTTCGAACAATATCAACCGCGATCGGGCTCGATACCTTAAGGTCTAAATTCGCGTTATCCGAGGACGTTACTTCTTGAGGAGGTTGAGGATCGGGCGACGCTTGCTGATTTGACTGCGGGCTGAGAAGCATCGCGGCGTCCAGCTCACCTTCCGAAGTTAACAGGTCTGTGTTGAACGAGGAGATCTCCTCCTGCTGCTGCAACTGTTGTAACGCGGTTGGCAGCTGTATAGAGAAAGTTGCCAGAGGCAAAGGGGGCGGTGGCGGTGGCGCCGGCGCCGGTGAACTCACGCAATCGCTCTGGGAAACCTCCATCGCGATGGGGCTGATCGGACTGATTGGACTAGCGGCGGCGAAAACCAACGAATGACTTTGACTATCCGCTGGCGCTGTGAATACTAAGTTTTGCTGTAGCTGTCTGTTTGGTGTCGTTGGCGTGGCCGGGTCCTGCGCGGCGCTCGGTGGTAATTCGCCATTCTTGATCAGGATCTCCAGCACGTCGTCCACCACTTGACTCTTGATATGACTTTTTTGAACTGGTTCAATCTTTACCTGAAACGGAACAGTTTAAGCGAAACTTGAATGAGAACAAAAATCTTCTTCCTCCTCGTCAATCCTTTTACATCTAACGCTGTGTGGAATGGTATAAAGATTATCATCAAAGTTCACCTTCAATAGCTTCGCGGCTTCGTCGTACTGAGGTGGCGGCGGTTTTCCATCCTCCGCGGTAACGGTTTGTTGCTGCTGTTGTTGGGCTTGCGCCACCAAGGCGCTCAACAATGTCCCATTCAATTTCGTAGGTTTGGGTAGATTAAAAACTATCGCAGCAGGTATTTGAACCGTGGCGCTGTTCTTCGTCTGGTTCTTCTTATTGTTAATCGCGGTCAAAGTGGAAGAGTCTAGAATGGCAGTAGTATTATTTGGCTGTGCCTGCAGGAACGCGGCGAGGCTAGCTTTCGCGTTCAGCTGCTGGAACGTAGCGTGTTGTTGCTGCGTTTGCTGCTGCTGTTGTTGTTGACTTTGCTGCTGCTGCTGCTGTTGCTGCTGCTGCTGCTGTTGCTGCTGTAATGTTGCAATTGTTGCAAATGTAGCGCCAGCTGCTGCTGCTGCATCTTGTTCTGTATATGTTGTTGCAGCACCAACTTCTCAGCGTGGACCGTAGACGGTTGGGTCTGACGGATCTGCTGAAGTTGCTGTTGAGATTTGTACAATTCACGTTGCAACTCTTCTATCCGTTTCCTTTGCTCTTTGATTATGTCGTCTCCTGAAACACGGACTGTATCGTGAAAACACCGACGTGTGTTGCGCTCCGAAAAATTCATTTCTCGAAAATATTTATCTCTTGAGAATACAATATTATAATTCACAAGTATATATATATCGGCAAAAGAGAGGGGATAAGTTAGAAGTACCTGGGGGACTGGATGGATCGTCGTGCTCGCTACCATGCGGTGAATCGGTCCGTGGACTATTCGGTTCGTCCTTGACGGCGGAGCCAGGACTCTTGGCATGAGAGCTAGACTCGTCGGATGTCATTGGCCCCGGAGTGTCCATCAATATGTGGCCCATATGCGTCACGTGGGGCCCATTCGAGCTAGACGTCGAGTTGCCGCTAGACGATTCCGTGAACGGCTTCAATCTCTCGATCAGCTGCGGCTTCGAGCCAGATACCGGCAAGTTTCGACGTTTCAATTCCACTTTGAGATCACTTACTGCAAGGAACATTTATCTCTCGATTAATTAATCCCATCATTTTCCAAACAACGAACGGATTCATATTCACCTTTCATATCTTCCAACTTGCCCAAAGGCCTCAAAGGTGGTTGTTCCGAGGGATTGTTGGAAGAATTCGAGGGTGCGGGGCTCGGTGCGTTCAAGCTGCTTCCGCTAATGCTACCAGCGTCACTTGCCCCGCTACTGTTCAACGACAACGGCTTTTGCGCTGCCGGTAGAATGATCTGAGGATACTAAACAAAGTGATCGAATTACGCAACGTTCGAATTTTTCCTTACACACATATATATATATACACGAAATCAACGTTCGAATTGGGTAACCGGCACTGGTTGTCTCGTAATTGAAGCTCGATTATAAATTTAGACGTAATTGCTATGCAAATCATCGTGGAGAAAGTGGAGTTAACGAGACATATCCGGTTGAGATTCGTCGTTTGTTACTAACAAGCGTGGAAAGTGGACGCTTTATAACAACATTTCTAATCCCTTCCTTTGTGACACGTGTGCGTACCTTATGCTGCCATTCGAGCTGCCATTGAAGGAATAGCTGCTGCTGCTGAAGAAGAAGCTCGTAGCTGGTCTCGCCGGGTGGTGCCGAGCCGAGACCGGAAGTCGTGGACGACACCGAGGTTTTCTGCGCGTTTGGCGGCCCCTGGGAACAATCGTTCAACATCAATCATTATTAATCACAAGACAGAAGAATCACAGAACAACAACAAAAATTACTAATAATTTCGTTTCGATATTTCAATCAAACTCTTCTTCTTCTTCTTCTTTTTCTTCGAGTGAGAAAATTCGAAGTGGGAGCTGATGGACTTCGAATGAAGTTGCTTAGAATTTGTACGCCGCATCCCGAATGTTTCGGGAGTCTTTGCCACCTATCGAACTTGCCTGGCCCTCTTCTCTTCCTCTTTCTCTCGCTGCCAGTACTACCTGAACCCCCTCGGAACACTTTGGCTACTTCGCCGCTTCTTGGCTTCCTCGCTCTTAGGCGCAATTAGCGCTCGAATTACTCAGAGCTAACGAGGTGGGCCTCGGGCCCTTCGAGAGATCGCGAGAGTTAATCACCCGATACGATCTCCTTCTGCGTTTCGCCCTCTTCCCTTTGACTATAGAGAAAGAGAGAGAGGAGGAGAGAAGGGAGAGGAGAGGAAGAATCGGTTCCTCGCGGGAGCCGAGATTTACCGAGGGGTCCGTACCCCTTTTTTATTTTGCTTTCACCTCTTCCCCTCCGCTCCTTTTTTTTCTTTTTTTTATTTCTCTTCCTCGGCCGTTCCGCTTTCTTTTCTCCTTTTTTCGCCCCCTTTCGAATTTCGCGGTTCTCTCGTTCGCTCTTTGTCTTCGCCTCCCTCTCTGTTTCGTCTTTCTCGGCAGATCTTTTTACATATTTCCGTTCCGTTTTTCGTCCCAGCTCCTTTTTATATATACCTCTTCTAATTGCCGGTTTGGATTATATATTGTTTGAAATTAAAGAGGTGGAAACAAAGAAGAGAGAAAGAAGAATATTCTCAAGTTTTTCAGCCGCAACGTAATACGCTTTATACAACCCATAAAAACACGCGTTACACGTATTTTTACTTTTCGCGTACGGCCAAGTTTAAGCAATATATTCGCACCTTGCGGACATAAAAGCGGCGCGTTCACGCCCACCACGTTTACACACTGACAAATATAAACGGGACGAAAAGGAGTGAAAGTATTAAAATGCTCTTATGTTTTTCTCCCGTTCTGTTATTATACAACAACGCAACACGCTCGATGCCTTACCTCTATCGAGACCAAGGAAGCAAAGGAAGGGACGAAAACTTACTTTGTACTCGTGAAACTTGATCGTACGGGTCTTCGGTTGACTCTTGGTCTTCGACTTCTTCCTGTTCTTATCCTTGCCGGGCGCGTCGCTCCTCTGACACGTGGAGGCGGCTGCTATGGGGCTCGCCTGGGGCCTGGGGGTGATGGCGGCCGGCGGTGGTGCCGGTGGCGACGCTATCGATATATTGGAAAGGGGGCTCAGGCTGGACGTGGTCGAGCCCAAGGACATCGGACTCGGCGCCGGCGCCAGTGGAAGGAGGGTCGTCGTCGTCGTCGATGGACCGTTTGTCTGACTCGCCTGTTAACAGAGATCGTTGCTTTCTTTCTTTCTTTCTTTCTTTCTTTCTTTTTTTTTTTCTCTCAATTCCCCGTCGAATCCTCGATTAATCAGCTTGCATCGGTGCGCTGCCAATTTATGAGCAGCGCTTAACGTCCGACGTAAATCTATTTTTGCCCCCCTCCCCTCCCCCCTTTCGATGCTTTTTCGACATCGTCGTCGAACCGTTCTCCCCTCTCCCCCCCCTCGGTTTATTGTCCCCTTAAATGTCTTTCTTTCTACGGAGAGGGGGGGGAGGAGGAGGAGGAGGAGGAGGGGAACGGCCGTTATCGTCCATCTACATCGACCGATAAATCAACCATCCCCTCCTCAGCCGGAGGATTTACGCGTCCCTCGCTCACCTGCGTGGAAGCATGTTGTTGCTGATTATGCTGGGCCTGTTGATGGGATTGCTGCTGCTGTTGGTGGTGCTGTTGTTGTTGTTGTTGTTGTTGTTGCTGCTGCTGCTGCTGTTGTTGGGAGCCGACCACGGTGTTGCACAGCTCCGCGAAAGTTTGTATGGTCGACTCGTTGGACGCTTGTTGGAAGACGGGCGACGTGGACGAGACCACCACGGCACCGCCTGTCGTCGGAATACTGAGGGAGACGGTCACTATCCCGGCCGAGGCAGCAGCCGTTTCCAGAACGTCCGACCGGGACTCGAGCTGGGGCGAGGGCGCGCCTTCCGAGCTCTGGGAGTCATCCTCGAAGGTGATGTAGTGGTCTGGGTGTTGGGGCTTCGTTACTTGGCCCTCGCAAGTGGCCTTGAAGGGAATGTGACCCTCTACGCGGGCAGAGAGAAACGTTGGAATGGAAGAAATTGAAAACGCAAGAGACGAAAGATATAAGATGGGGAAAAGTGATTGACGATCCTCTTTTCACGAGGATCTTTATCATCATCGATCAAGATGATGTAGTTCGAGTCTCGGCTCTCACCTTTGACCGCCCTTTCAATAGGCTCCTCCGTGTGGAGAATATTCTTTTGGATGAGCTCGAGCGGTCCGGGTCGATGGCTGAGCTGGTCGTTCAGCTGGTCGGCTAACCTGGCCTTCTTCAGCATCCGTTGCCTCTCGGCCAGGCTTGGATCCACGTGACCCACATCCTCGAGGATATGCTGCCTAACCAGCTCCTCCCTGCCCGGTCTCTGCTGGATCTTCGCCTTCAGAAGATCACCGGTTTTCGCCCGTTCCAGTTGCTTCCTCTGCTCGTGGAACGCCGGCGGTGTCTTCAATGCTGCGAAAAATAACGTTATTTGTTAGTTAGTTTAAATTTAAATTGACGGATCTTGACGGAATTGACGGAAGTTTTTCAAGAGCGGGGCAAGGCTCGAATATAGATCCGAAGAGGAATGAATTCAAATCCCATCCTCCACCATCTAACCTAAGACAGAATCGGAGGAAACAACACGCGTATCGGCGTTGCCTCAGATGAAAATACATATTTAGCAATCGCGCGGGAATTCGTTTACCGTTCTATCGTTCAAACTATTTTCAAACACCTAAATGTTTAAAATACGGTTTTATCGGAAGTATACCGTTCCGATCAAAAGATTAATTTTAGACGGACGCAACCTTGCGGCGCCTTGGTGGAGGAAGCCACTATATTTCCAGTTAAAAAACACCGCGTGTGTCGTTCCACCCGCTCTGGAATTAAAAACTCAATCTCGGGCACCTCCTCCTCCGTGATTTTTATCTCTCCGCCGGAGACACTTAAATCACGGCCGGATGGTGTACGCGACCACTTTCATCGAGCTTTCCTCGATCACGCTCGACGCCGAAGGGCGCGATCTAATAAAAGAAACGGATGAGAGAGAGAGAGAGAGAGAGAAAGAGAGCACTTTCGAAGCTTTTAGGACGCGTCCTCCGACGCATGCTGCACGCATCAATTTCCGGGACGATCGCCCTCAAAGGTTTTCGGTGTCCCCTCCCCTCTCTCCGAGGGGCGCCATTTTGGTGTCAACGTCAAACGCCTCGAGACGACATTCCTGCACGCCATTAAGTCCCCGGATAAATGATCCTCGAAGCGTTTTCTCTACGCGAGCTCTACTATTTCCGGACGAGGGCAACTTCATAACATAAAGAAATTAATAAGAGTTTCGCGCCACTTACGGTACACTATACATTGTACACACACACGTGGAAATTATTCTGGATAAATTCGGGTTAAACTGCTCTCTTGTTGAAAAGCAAGAACGCTCCATGTTTCTTCGAGAAACGTTGTCGCTTGTTCTTCTTCTTCTAACTTATTTGCCACCTTTAGAGAAAAATAGAAAACACGAGGGAACAACGAGTGTATACGAATAGTTGTGAATTCGAGAACTCGAATATCTTTCTTTTATAATTTAGCATATCGATTTCTATAAGTAAAAGATTATTCGTCCAACGAAATCTTATTACTACACGAATCGGGCAAATCTGCAAGTATAGCATGTACGCTGATGATATATCGTTTCGTTCGTTATTAATCGATGCGCGTTTGCGCTGTTAAATGAAAATCATGATTCGATGGTATCTCCATTTATCGTTGAATTGGCCGCACAATGGTTTGGACCGAGGCTTGTTAGCCGCGCGGAAATCGGCGAATCTGAAACCGCTCGCAAAGATAGGGAATATGTAGTCGAGTCTGCGTAGGAAATGCTAAAATTAACCGAACGATTCGAATCAATTAGGCCTTTCCAACATCCCCGCGAGCAATGGCTCGCGGCTTTTGTCTCACCCACGCGTGTTCCTTGGCGAAACCCGCCGCGGGTTGTATTCGCTCGAGCCAGCTGTGACCCAATTGTCTAGTTTCTATCGAGTAAATCACGAGTCGATGGACGTCTATGAGGGAAAAGCAAAAAAAAAAAAAAAGAAAAGTGAACAACGGTGTTCGAACAAAATAAGTGAAAAATTTGAAGAATAAAACTAAGAAGATAATTATTTACTTCCTCCAGAAGGCATTATTCCCTCGCAAAATTTTCACGCGTGATATAATTATAGTGCTATTGTTATAGAATTGATATGTAAAGAAACATTCGTTGTTTATTTTTTAATTTTATATATTAACTTCTTGCTTGATAATGATATCAATAGTTAAAATATTATCGTAAATTTTACCGTATCTTAAAATCTGGATATTTTCATCCGTTTTTTTTATGACTTATAGATTTATAGAATTTTCGATCGAGATTAAAGAAAAATATTTATCTCTCGTTCCAACTCCTTCCTCCTTTTTTTTTTCGAATTAAAAGGAAGGCAAAGGAATTAAATCATTCGAAATATCAAGCGTTCGAATTTCGATAAAATATCGTCGCGCGACTTTATTATGTTTATATACACGGAGACGATATTCGAGTTTCTCGTGTTTCGCGAATAATATTTACGTCCGCGAACGGGCTCGTATTTTCAATACAAATGGAATACGCTCCATTCGGGTGAAAGCGTGCGTGCTGCGTAGTTCGTTTCGAGCGTTGCTCTTCTATTTCTTTATTTTATCAACGAAATCTTTATAACGAAACGATTTCTTTGCATCGATAAAACGTGGTTTAGGTAATTCATCGTGCAAATTATATATTTATCCTGACGAAACTCGAAACAAGATTCTTTTCTTTGGTTAAAAAAGATATACACATTTGAAGAGAAAGTTAAATTTAACGAGTAGTGTATATAATATATATATATATAAATTTTGGATAAATTTAATATAAAGAATACTTTTTTCGAGTTCAGTTTCACAATCACGAGTTATTTGATCGATGGAGCATAAAAATAAATAAGGATCGTATTCGTTCCAACAGCATCCATCAAGTAGAATCTCATCGAGTAATCGTTCGAACAAAGAGCGAAGATAACCGGCATCCCTAAATCATCCGCCATCGGAGTGGACAGACGGCACAGTCAGAGGTAACAGGCCAATCGAGATTCCGGATTTACGATCCGCGATCGAACACTCTTAATTCTTATTAGTGTGGCGTTCATTAAACGTCGATTAGCGTTGGATTAAATTGTCTTAGTGGCGCGGAAAAGAATTTTCGTTTCGAACTCTCTTCGCACGAAAATCGCAAATGTTGAACAGTTAATAAACACTCGTGTGTGTTCGTGCGTGTTTTACAACGTCATCTATCTGTGAAAGATAACTCGCGAATAAAAAGTTTCATTCGTTCGAATGTATATTTTATATCGTCAAATCAAATGAAGGAGAATGGTCTCGCACGAAACGCTCGATTTAGATTTCACGATTCTCGCTTCTTGTTGTTTCTCAGCTTGTTGGTTCATTGGCGAGGATCGCGCGTGGGCGTATTGTATAATATAATAAGGAAAATTTCGTCGATTATGCAACCGTTTCCATGTACAATGCAATGAATCGAACAGCTTCGTATATATTTCGCAATATATATGCCTTGAAATTGGTTGAATACTTTCTTCAAAAATTTTCTTCTATTCCAAGAAAATAATCTATGAATGGTCCAATTAGGTGTAAATTCTTGATTGAAACATCGGTTCATCTCAATTTTCCTCGATGATGCTTTTTAGTATCGATTCTTAGCGACAAATGGATCGCAAAGTTTATAGTTTTCGAAATCTGCTAGTATCTTTTATCTGCTAGTATTTTTGCATTGTGCTGTTTCCAATTTACTTCTCGCACAGGACATTCAAAGTAATTTTAAACGAATTTCGTCAATTTGTAGTTACTTTATTTTTCGAAGTTCTCTTACTCATAGTAATTTTTATACTTTTCTATATAAATCGTCTCGTCAATATTACGTAATATCGTACGTCGATATCGTGCGTCAATTCTCGATCCTGCCATAAATATTTAACCACGATATCGTTGAAAAATCGCAAGAGAGCCGTCATTAGTTTTCAAGCGTTAAAATTAGGGTTCTTTATTCCGGTAAAATTAGCATGGTATTGCAACGCTAACCGAAGGAATTAATCGCGGCACGTAAACAGATTTACAACGGTCATTGCGGGCCGTTTCCCCGAAAAAACCATTACCACGTTACCACGCGCGATATCTTCGACTCCTGGAAGCTGTAAATGAGTAAATCCCGCGGAACGAAATTGCACATGATGGCTCGCATGAACGCCACTCGAAACGGAGGGTATCGGCCGTCGTATTTCTCTACCCGCCTCGCGATAAACAGGCTGATGCGTATTTCGTGATGCGTGGAATTTCGCGATTACGCCGCCAATTAGCTTCGCCCTTTTGGTTATAAATCCAAACGCGATTTTGTATTATTCGTTGCCTCGTACAAATATTACAAGAAATCGATAAAGTTGCAAGTTTTCGAAATCAATTTATAGATCGTTTAGAATTTTCGTTCCCGCTATTGTGAAGGCTCGCCCGTGACTCGACTTTTATCCTCGAAACGAACAAATTTTCAATTCTCGACCGATTAGATTAGTTGTAAGATCGATGGGCGGCCAGTTTCTTACATCGAAATACTGGTATCAACAATTTCTTGGGAAGGAACGTTGGGCGAGATTATCGTTGGAAAACGGATCGGACGAGACATTAGCTGGCAATTGATCACCACGTACGTCAATTTAAGGTACTTTAGGAAGTCGCTCGTGTCCCAGTTACTTCCTTTTACGAATACGTTGGCCGAGCCATCACGGGCAATCGCGTGGTAATTAAGTTGTAAGTGGATTAATCGGCCGTTGGTAAGGGGAGGAAAAACGCGACACACGTTGACGAACTTGTTAAATCTAACTCGAGCTAACCTTCCTCTCTCGTTCAAATAAATTTGTTCGATCGGTTAGGATCGTTTCCCTCTCCCGCCATCCATTAAATACCATACCATCGAACTCTCCTCCACTTTTTTTTGCGTCCTCCAGTTTTATTGCGTCTATCTAATCCGTCAATTGAATTCACTCCGCTCGAAACCAAACGTTACGTTCAAAATTCACGAAATTCGACGATTCGACGAGGCTCGTCTAAAAATTCGATAAAAAGTAATCGAAAATTGTTTATTTACGGGCCAGTTATCTACTTACATGGCATGATCCCTTGCGCAACCAGCTGGTTGATGGGTCGCCTCAGCGTAAGCTTCACCTTCAGCGCTGCAACAGAGAGAACAACATTGTCTTTTATTAATCCCCTCTTTTTCTCGCTCGATCCCCCCTTAATTCGATCCCCCTTATCTCGCGCATCCGAGTATATTCGCACAAATATATTATAATTCGAATAAATGTTAAAAAAGAAAAGAATTCTCGCAGGATAAAATTTGAATCGCTTGAATCGCTTTTTTCTTTTGTTTTTTACAAGTTTCCAGAAACCTGGCTATTTATATCGAAAATTAATAACCACGTTTCCTCGGAACAGCCGCGTAATCTCACCGTTTCTCTCGTTCTATAAAAAATCGGATGATCAAAGTCGATCGGTGATGGCCATTTCTCGGTAGCCAATATTTTCTTTCCGTCTAAGCTGTTCCATATGGCGTGGGGTCGGGAACGGAAGGGAAAAAAAGCACGGATCCCTCGGGTTAATTGGACCGCCGTACGCGGCCTGTACTTTTCCAATTCGGCAGCTAATTTTAAACTCGATTTATTAATTGGATGCACGCGCACAAATTTGATCGAATTTTCTTCACCATTCCGCTCGATGTAAACGGTGGATCTCCACCGATATATGGGACGATGCTACTGGTCTGACCACGCCAACCGGATGCCACCACGTGTAACGGGATTTGCGTACCGTATTGTCGGTGTTGTAACGTTGTTTTTCATGTAGAGACAGCTACCTGTATCCCACGAACCACGGCTACCTGAAGAGCCGTGTTTTGGGGGTCAAGTGTCGGATTCACGAGCTTCTCTCGTTTTGCGACGGGGTGTTGAGCGTGGCGAGGTAAAAAGTCATAATGGCGGTCGTAAAAACTCGAGGGATTTTCGGCTCGACCTTTCCTCGCGTGGCATATTCGGTTCTTTCTTATACAACAATTACGAATCGAAATCTTTCTCGACTGTTTTACCTTTCTTTCTCACGTCATCGAAATAACCGTATATGAAATATCAAAACGAGTACACGATTCTTTGATATCGTGAAAATACATAATATCGAACAGGAATACTTTGACATCGAGTCCACTCCGATTCGATCGATACTTATCTTCTCTTCGCCTCCCTTTTGCATCGGCCGCATCGATATTGGCGATTTTGAGAAAGAGTTCGGCGACGATCCGAGGGCTTTAATTAAGGGACGATCGTGAATTCGAAGGGGGCGGGTCAAAGGTCGACGAGGGCGAACGACCGTGGCGTGGATCGCGGGCCCGGCCACAAATTAACACACAAAGGGCCCCCGGTTATAAATACGCGCGGGTCGGGATTGCATAAATTGGCGGCGTAAGAGGAAGAAAACAGCGGCGATCTGAATTCAAAGCAGGCTCCCCCCCTCCTATGCGTTTCCTATAGAAAAATGTCTCTCCCCCTCTCGGTTTATTAGCCAGCCCCAAAAGGATCAGCGTTGATCTCCTCCTCCAGGTCAGATTTCCCCCCCCCCCCCCTCGAATATATACATTCGGAACAATCGATTCATAACAATCGATCGTTTCTTAATCGTTCCGATTCCTCCTTTCTCGTGCTTCTGAGTTTTGAAATAAAGTTTGGCCAACCGTTTCTCGGAAGAATAGTCATAATAATTTTATAATAACAAAGCTACGTGGTGTTTCATCTCACGTTATCGTATCCACGTTATTTTGCTTCAATTATACAGGCGCGAGAAACTCCTTCGATCTCGAATGAGGGTGTAATGGATCGAATCTAAAGAATCGTGGAGAGAATTTGGCAAAAAGTAGGGAATTTTTTCTCTAGAAAATGTTATTAAAGAAATAACTAAATGGCGAGTGGAATCATTAATTTTACGTAACGATTTTTTCTAGAATCTATCAACCATATACACACGTCGTTCTTGCTTATTAACCGATCAACAGCGGATCGGCGCGTGGAAATTTATGGCGTTGAAAGGCAATTAAAGAGGAGAAAAATTGGATAATCCTGTCATCTAATGTGCATTCCTGCTCGTATCCTCCGCTATCGATCCTGATACAATCACGCGTGGAACGCGCGTAACTATGCGCGCGATTGCATATTTCTCCCCAGGTGGCGGCGAAACTCGGCCATCGATCCACTCTTCTTCAAATCTTCTTATCTCTAGGAAATTATCGTATATATTTCGAAAAATTATCGATATATTTTTCTTTAGAGTACCTCTCGAGTAAAAGTTCGTATAATACAAAACTTGGTTATAGAAGACCTTAAAAATGTCCGATCATAGGTTGATATTATTATTTCAATCGGTGTCCAATAAAATTGTTTACTTTGGAAATCAAATCTCAAGCTGGCCGCCTCTGTCTGTATCGTGAATGCCGCTATAAATAATCGTATCGGGCGAAATGGAAAAAGATATACGGGGAGTAACGAGGAACTGGGACGGGCCTGAAGGTATCATGGTCCACAGAAGACAAATGGTAACGACCAAAACGGCTACTAGACTCAAGTGCCAAAATACACAGCGCCAAATACTGAGCCAACGTTTCTTGTATCGTTATATGGACACAGTTCTGTTTCTAATTCGGTGTCGCGTTTCATCTTCCTCGCCCCGTGAATCCTCGAACAATATTCGCCGTTTTTATTAAAGTATATAAATAAACAAATCAAACATCTTCCTTAACAATCACTCTTATCGAGAAACGAGAAGAAGAGTTATCTTCTGTTTCTGTATTCTCCTCCACGATCGATGCAAGCAACCCTATCCCTCTTAAAACTTTGACAAAGAGGAATATCAACTAAAAACACAGTCCACTTTCTGTAAATATCCCATCGAATACGCAAATTTTGAAAAAGCAGAAGGAGAAATATTTATAAATTGGGGAAGATTATAAATTGGATTTCCAATAGACCACACCCTCGAGAAACGCAGAAACGATGTCGAGCGCGGGAGGTGATCGAAAGTCAGAGATCGCGGAGATGGACGTTAACGAGCGGAGGTGGACGATATCCCGAGCGGAGGACGAAGGACAGGCCGGTGCATACTTGTCCCATGTACCCGGTGGGCAGACAGCTCGCGACTCGCCGGCTCGTGGCACCGGCTGTCAGGGTGGCACGCGGATTCCAGCGATGTTTCGCATTTCTCGGAGATTTCACCGTTGTTTCACCGCCCTCCTCAACGCGACGAGGAATGGGCGGGTGTTAGGCGTTAATCGAAACCCGGTCTCAACGCCATCGCGCCACTTTCCGCGACCAAAGATTCCTGACAAAGTGAGCGCCGATTGTTTTGGCCGGATGCCAGTATAATTTCACTTGCGTCTCGGTTAACACGTCGTTCGGTTAATTATTCGGTTACGTTACAACCGCGACATTTTTATTTCGGCCATCATTGAGGAGATAACGGACGTGTTTTTTCGTCAGGATATAGAATATAGTAATATTGTTTTTAAAGGATGGGAAGGTTTTTTTCTTTGAAATTGTATTTTTATATTATAGGATATTTAGGATTATATTTATATGCAAATACGAGAGCGAGAGAGCGGAGGAGTCGCTCGTTTTTCCAGAATTTCACACCGGGGATGCCAGAAATATCTGAGGATGCAGGCCCCGGGTGTTAATTGCGCGGGACTCGAGCTTCAACTTGCGGGAGCTACACTCCATAAGCATTTACGCAATGCATAGAATGCAAATTCGCATTCCTGCCAAATGAATCCGACCGAAGGTGATTGTTCCGGTCACCGTATGCCCCTTTATTGTTCGCGAACGTAACCACAATAATTTCGTTAGTTTTAATTAGACTCTGGTTTTTTAAAATATTGCGGGAAAAGCTGCTTTCTTTCAAGAAATCCTCCTTCCAAATTCCGAACAAGATGATCAAAACTCGAGAATAATTTCGTCGTTTGCAATGGTAGATCATGCCATTCTCCATCCATATAATTCTCGTTTAACTACTCGTCGATTCGCTCGATTTGTTACAAAAAAATTGTACAAAAAAAAAAAAAAATCAGGAAACGCAGTTCGAAAATTCCAAAGTTCGCGCTTGACTTTTGATTCCGCTTATTTGACGTGGCGTCAATCATGGAACAATCACGATGACCGGCAGGCTGATCGCGTTCTTTGAAATTGAAAACCCTCGGAACGAGGGCCCATGAAAGTCGGCGCAGCCTGGAGCGGCGCCGCCAAATACGCCGCCACGAACGAGGGAGAAAGATTATGATCATTAAGCGCGTCATTACCGGACGTAAATTAGAGTGGTTAAGAGTAATTACGCGCGCGAGAGAGAGAGAGAGAGAAGCGGGCAGCACGCTTGCTGACACAGCTGTCGATCGAAGTTAAACCTTCTGCCGGGGGAATTAATTCGTGCCGTCGCATAAACTGTTGCACCCGTTGAAATTCAATGCCCACGGGGCTCGTACGTTCTTGCGTGAAAGGGGCGCCTTTGCGATCGCCCTCGGGCTTTTGCTTGCCGAATCGAATGCCCGTTTGAAAGATCGCTGGCAAACGAGCTTTATTATATATTTATACGCTCGGTACACTTGATTCCTCGTTCATTAATCTCGTTCGTTTCTTCGTTCGTTATTGGGCCGGCCACAACGGATATTTTTGTGGGTTTTTTTCCTTTTTTTTGTCTCGATCGGATAGACGGTGTTAAGTGGGCCGTATATCTCTGTTTATGATAAATTCGTTTCATTCGGCGATTTTACGACGACGAGATATCCCACTTTCGCTTGAATTTAGGTTGAGCAGATGGGGTGATATTTCAAGTTTTTTAATCGCTTATAAATTGGTCTCGGCCAAATATTTATATATATATATATATATATATATATATATTTTTGTAAATGTTTTGTTAAAATTTAAAAGTTTCTCGGTATAGATGACAAATAATTCCAAATAAACGAATCTCGATCTCACTTTTACATATTAACTTTCAAAACTTCAGATACTGTTAAAAGCTTGGAATTAAAATAATAAATTCTTGCAAAAAAAATGCAAACTTTTTAAGGAAATAATCACAAGATTTGACAAGATTTCGTCGTTGTATCGGAAATGCAAGTCACGTTTCAAAATCCATTCAG